GCCCGGGCCCAGCGGGAACTCTCCCCCCGTTGGAGGCCAGCGCGCCTGCCGGGTGTTCTCCGCCCACTCTCATCAGAGGTCACTACGAAATGAGGGCAAGACAGGAGGGAAATGTGTAAAACGTCTTTATTCGGCAAATAAAGAGCTGACTCCCCTGTCACCCCCGTTTTGAAACTGATTTTTTACCTGCCCGTGTGTTTATTTAAAATATATTTTTATTGCCTGGCCGGGGTGGTTCAGTGGTTGAACGTCGACCTGTGAACCTGGAGGTCACGGTTCAATTTCAGGTCAGGGCACAGGCCCGGGGTGCGGGTTCGATCCCCAGTGGGGTGCGTGCAGGAGGCAGTGGATCAATGATTCTCATCATTGGTGTTTCCATCTCTCCCTCTCCCTTCCTGCCTCCTGCACGCCCCCTACTGGGGATCAAGCCTGCAGCCGGGCATGTGCCCTGACCCGAAATTGAACCGTGACCTCCAGGTTCACAGGTGGACATTCAGCCACTGAGCTATGCTGGCCGGGCTGCCCATGTATTTACAGTCACAGTCTGGGCACCTGCCCCCACCTCCGAGTGCATGAGCCCAGGGGTGGGAAGATGGGGGAGACCCCGAGCGTCCCTGGGCCGCGCAGTGCTGGTGCTGGGGCAGGGGGCCCCACGGGAAGGCTGGGGTCTGAGAGGGGGTGACTCCCCAAATGTGGGGCTTCCTCCTGTGTTCCCTCCCACAGCAGGGCCGGCTCCCGGGCCTCAGGGTCAAGTACGTCTTTCTGGTCTGGCTGGGCGTCTTTGCGGGCAGCTGGCTGGCGTACGTGAACTACTCGTCCTACGCGGAACTCTGCCGCGGGCACGTGTGCCAGGCGGTCATCGTAAGTGTCCCCGTGGGCTGGGCGTGGGCTCCGTCCCTCCCCGTGCAGCCTGGGCGGGCCAGGCAGGGACCCGCCGTCCTCTGAGGCCCTGAAGTGGGTTTAAGAGGGACCCTCGGCTGGCGGAGGAGGAGGTGGGGTGGTGGGAGGAGGGCAGGGCTGGGGGGGCCCTGCAGGCACCCAGGGGGGCACGGCTGGTGCCAGGGATGGACAGATGGGCGGACTCCAGAGGTCTGGGAGGGAGACGGGAACGGGCAGATGTTGGTGACCTTGAGGGCCCCCAGCCGTCTCAGAGGCTCCACAGCTCGTCCAGGCCACACCTGGAGGGCAGGCCCCGGGCTCAGGGATGGGGTGCTGCTCACCGAGTCCCCAGCGCGGCCCAGACTGTAGACGGGAAACGCCTTGAGGAC